CTGGGATTAAACTAAGTTTTAATTTCAATGTACTTGATTAAAATGTCAATTAAAGACCCCTTTAACAATTCAATTGCATCAAGTTACAAATTCTGCCCTAAAGAAAGTAACTTGTGTACTTATCTCAAAATGGTTTACTGCCAAAATTAAACAAAGGTAGCAGTAAGCACCTATAAGCAATAAGCAATAAGCACAACAAAATCACCTTTTTAAAGAGAACTGTAATAAAATGTAAATAACAATGTAGACCAAAGAAATGGCTTTTTTGGCTGTTTAACAATGAAAAGGGGTAGTGGCTTTGTCAAAGATTAAGCTCATCATTCCCTCTCTCAATTCATCTCCTATTACCTGAACATAACACATCCTACATCTCCTACTGATCAAGAGATCAGTAAATACCAGGAGGTATCTGGAAAATAAAGTCTAGGGAGGCTCTATCCCAAGGACAAAAGAAAAATGAGGACTGCAAAGAGGATCTGGCAGGAAGAGAACAGGATCATGCTAAACTGGTATGATCACAATTTTAACTTAAACATTTAATGTGGATTCTTAAGTAATTTTACATCCCGTACTCATTAAACAATGACTGATTTGCTCAATATATAAACTTCTTAAACATTAAAATAATTTTACAAACACACAGTTATCACCATGAATTAGTTGAAACCTGGCATACTATTCTACAAAGTTTGTCTATTCCTAACACAAGAGAGGACTCTACACATGGACATCACCAGATGGTCGACACTGAAATCAGATTGATTATATTGTTTGCAGCCAAAGATGGAGAAGCTCTATACAGTCAGCAAAAACAAGGCCGGGAGCTGACTGTGGCTCAGATCATGAACTCCTTATTGCCAAATTCAGACTAAAATTGAAGAAAGTGGAGAAAACCACTAGACCATTCAGGTATGACCTAAATTGATTCCCTTATGACTATACAGTGGAAGTGAGAAATAGATTTAAGGGACTAGATCTGATAGAGTGCCTGATCAACTATGGATGGAAGTTCGTGACATTGTACAGGAGACAGGGATCAAGACCATCCCCATGGAAAAATGCAAAAAGGCAAAATGGCTGTCTGAGGAGGCCTTACAAATAGCTGTGAAAAGAAGAGAAGCAAAAAGCAAAGGAGAAAAGGAAGATATTCCCATTTGAATGCAGAGTTCCAAAGAATAGCAAGGAGAGAAAAGAAAGCCTTCCTTATCAATCAATGCAAAGAAATAGAGGAAAACAATACACTAGGAAAGACTAGAGATCTCTTTAAGAAAATTAGAGAAATCAAGGGAATATCTCATGCAAAGATGGGCACAATAAAGGACAGAAATGGTATGGACCTAACAGAAGCAGAAGATATTAAGAAGAGGTGGCAAGAATACAAAGAACTATACAAAAAAGATCTTCACAACCCAGATAATCACAATGGTGTGATCACTCACCTAGAGCCAGACATCCTGGAATGTGAAGTCAAGTGGGCCTTAGAAAGCATCACTACGAACAAAGCTAGTGGAGGAGATGGAATTCCAGTTGAGCTGTTTCAAATCCTAAAAGACGATGCTATGAAAGTGCTGCACTCAATATGTCAGCAAATTTGGAAAGCTCAGCAGTGGCCACAGGACTGGAAAAGGTCAGTTTCCATTTCAATCCCAAAGAAAGGCAATGCCAAAGAATGCTCAAACTATTGCACAATTGCACTCATCTCACACACTAGTAAAGTAATGCTCAAAATTCTCCAAGCCAGACTTCAGCAGTACATGAACCATGAACTTCCAGATGTTAAAGCTGGTTTTAGAAAAGGCAGAGGAACCAGAGATCAAATTGCCAACATTCACTGGATCATCGAAAAAGCAAGAGAGTTCCAGAAAAATATCTATTTCTGCTTTACTGACTATGCCAAAGCCTTTGACTGTGTGGATCACAACAAACTGGAAAATTCTGAAAGAGATGGGAATACCAGACCACCTGACCTGCCTCTTGAGAAACCTGCATGCAGGTCAGGAAGCAACAGTTAGAACTGGACATGGCACAACAGACTGGTTCCAAATCAGGAAAGGAGTACGTCAAAGCTGTATATTGTCACCCTGCTTATTTAACTTATATGCAGAATACACTCTGAGAAACACTGGGCTGGAGGAAGCACAAGCTGGAATAAGGATTGCCGGGAGAAATATCAATAACTTCAGATATGCAGATGATACCACCCTTATGGCAGAAAGTGAAGAAGGACTAAAGAGCCTCTTGATGAAAGTGAGAGAGGAAAGTGAAAAAGTTGGCTTAAAACTCAACATTCAGAAAACTAAGATCATGGCATCCGGTCCCATCACTTCATGGGAAATAGATGGGGAAACAGTGGCTGACTTTATTTTTCTGGGCTCAAAATCACTGCAGATGGTGATTGCAGCCATGAAATTAAAAGACGCTTACTCCTTGAAAGGAAAGTTATAACCAACCTAGACAGCATATTAAAAAGCAGAGACATTACTTTGTCAACAAAAGTCTGTCTAGTCAAGGCGATGGTTTTTCCAGTAGTCATGAATGGATGTGAGACTTGGACTATAAAGAAAGCTAAGCACCAAAGAATTGATGCTTTTGAACTGTGGTATTGGAGAAGACTCTTGAGAGTCCCTTGGACTGCAAGGAGATCCAACCAGTCCATCCTAAAGGAAATCAGTCCTGGGTGTTCATGGAAGGACTGATGTTGAAGCTGAAACTCCAATACTTTGGCCACCTGATGCGAAGGACTCACTGGAAAAGACCCTGATGGTAAAAAGATTGAGGGCAGGAGAAGAAGGGAACAACAGAGGATGAGATGGTTGGATGGCATCACCGACTCAATGGACATGGGTTTGGGTGGACTCCAGGAGTTGCTGATGGACAAGGAGGCCTGATGTGCTGTGGTTCATGGGGTCGCAAAGAGTTGGACACGACTGAGCGACTGAACTGAACTGTAAATGTAATTTGGCACAACACCGCAGGGGAGAGACTAGACATTCAAGGAATTCAAGTCTTCTCATAGTAGCCTTTAATCTTTTCATGACTGTGACTCACGTTTTGCACTATAACCCAGCAGTCACACATATATACATAAACACAACATACACACACACCCCAGACACTACTGATTCATAAAGTAATAAGAACCTATCAGGAGATGCAGGAAACAAGGATCTGATCCCTGGGATGGGACGATCTCTTGGAGGAGGAAATATGGCAACCCTTTCCAGTATTCTTGCCTGGAGAATCCCATGGACTGAGGAGCCTGGCAGGGTGCAAATCCATAAGGTCACAGAGTTGGACATCACTGAGCGACTAACCACACACACACTATGTGCTCTAGTTTTTATTATCTGAATTTAGATTCTACTTTAAAAAAAAAAGCAGGAGTCATAATAGCCCACTAAATTGAATTCATATTCCACTCAGTCAGTCAGTCAGTCAGTTCAGTCGCTTAGTCAAGTCCGACTCTTTGCGAACCCATGAATCGCAGCACGCCAGGCCTCCCTGTTCATCACCAACTCCTGTAGTCCACCCAAATTCATGTCCATCGAGTTGGTGATGCCATCCAGCCATCTCTTCCTCTGTCGTCCTTTTCTCCTCCTGCCCCCAATCCCTCCCAGCATCAGGGTTTTTTCCAATGAGTCAGCTCTTCTCATCAGGTGGCCAAAGTACTGGAGTTTCAGCTTCAGCATCAGTCCTTCCAATGAACACCCAGGACTGATCTCCTCTAGGTTGGACCGGTTGGATCTCCTTGCATTCCAAGGGACTCTCAAGAGTCTTCTCCAATACCACAGTTCAAAAGCATCAATTCTTTGGCACTCAGCTTTTCTTCACAGTCCAACTCTCACATCCATACATGACCACTGGAAAAACCATAGCATTGACTAGACGGACCTTTGTTGGCAAGGTAATGTCTCTGCTTTTTAATATGCTATCTAGGTTGTTCATACCTTTCCTTTCAAGGAGTAAGCGTCTTTTAATTTCATGGCTGCAATCACCATCTGCAGTGATTTTGGAGTCCCCCAAAAATAAAGTCAGCCACTGTTTCCACTGTTTCCCCATCTATTTGCCATGTAGTGATGGGACCGGATGCCATGATCTTAGTTTTCTGAATGTTGATCTTTAAGCCAACTTTTTCACTCTCCTCTTTCACTTTCATCAAGAGGCTTTTTAGTTCCTCTTCACTTTCTACCATAAGGGTGGTGTCATCTGCATATCTGAGGTTATTGATATTTCTCCCGGCAATCCTTATTCCAGCTTGTGCTTCTTCCAGCCCAGCGTTTCTCATGATGTACTCTGCTAATAAGTTAAATAAGCAGGGTGACAATATACAGCCTTGACGTACTCCTATTCCTATTTGGAACCGGTCATATCCACTAGAGGCTCCCAATTGTACAATTTGAAAACACTGCTATAAAAAATGCCGTAGAATGTTAATCTTTGGGAATCTTTTTTTCCAGTTTTAAAATCTAAAATTGTTAAAATAAAAAACACTCAAGAACCCGTCCAATTCATCTTACTCAGGAAATAAGATTGCAGACGCAAGTTATCCTGTCTGGCACCTAAGTATTTCCTTGATTTCCCTCTCCTTTCCTAATTGTCACACAATTCTTTGCAGGTAGCATGTTTTCAATAAAGACATACTGAATTAAAAATTTATGGGATGGTAATGGCTAAAAATGACATCATAAAGTAGGCAGATTTTTAGCAAGGCCTTCCCTTCAAAGCAGCAGCAGGTTTCAGCTGATGAAGTGGAAAAAAATTTATGCAAAGGGATCATGCTTTGGTTTCATGCTTACAAAATGATTTTAATCTATTTATTAGTGAAGACTCAAAAACCAACAAAAAATTCACAAAAAAATCACCAGACCATCACAGAAAAATAAAAGGTGATACATGGTAAACAAAACCTAAGAGCATACTTAAATAAACTCACTGAATGCCGTGAATAAAGTCTAACCCCTCCCTTAGAACATTATAAATTAAGAAAAGTAAAATTATACCTCAAAATTCTGTTCCATTATATTTCCACCTTTACTCAAACTCTCCATAATGGCCTTATTTCGAAGAATGTCTTCTTCACTGAGATGTTCTCTTCTTTTTCTTGATTCTAAAACAAGTCCATTCACCAGATAAAAGTCGGCCAAAAAGTTTCCTACCCTTTCCTAAAATGAAATCAAATATTTCAAAATAATAAAACAAATAAAGTTTACCTTAGATTTTTTTTTTAAGTTTCAAAGTAAAATATACAGTTTCTCCATAAACATGTAACATTTAAATGAAAATAAATATTCCTCTGGTACTTAAAATCATCAAATTATCTTATACATTCTATTAAGCTAAAAAATACATAACATTACACATTTTAAATTTGTAAAGGAAAGTTTTTAAACACATAAAATGCAGGTAGTTAATCTCCAATGAATTAAGACTAAGTAAAAATGGCACATAATATTCCTTTAGAATCTACTAAGTAGCACAAAGCTACAGAAAACTTAATTTAGGTAATAGTCAAATATCATGAGTTATAAGGAGGGGTCAGGGATAATTAATGTTCCCATTTTATAGATAGAAATAAAAACTAGAATAAAAAGAAATAAACTAAGTCACATAAAAACTTCTAGTACAACTAAAATTAATTGCCTGTTCCAGTATTCTCTAGTAGGCCCAAACTTCCAAGATACAGTTGCTTGCTTCTTTCAACAAAAAGAGAACCACCAAGCAGTCTTGCTGACTAGCACAATTTATGTTTATATCATGTATTGGGAATGGGGAACTCAACTGGAATAAAAGGACATCAAGAAGAGTCCTCTTCAATATTAACCTTCACTTTTTTCAGACCCACAGGTGGTCAGAGTTTGAAATACCTTACCACAAACAATAGGATCAGTAACTTACTAAAAACAGGCTTCCCATTTCTACCTGTATGCAAATCACTTCTCTTGCTGCTGCTTTCTGGCATTCCAAAACTAAGTGTTTAGAGTGGCTTCTGTTTCTATCTTGCTCTGTGGCTTCCTTACCAATCATGAGAAAGGAAGGCACTCTGCACCTGTTTCTACCTACAAAATGGGAACTATAAGCAATTACTGACTCCCTCCTTACCTGTCAAAGATTTAAGAAGATCACCTAGACACTCTTCAAGAGCTTTGAGCTGCTTAGCAGTAGTACTAGATGAACAGCAGCTTCAATTTTTATCTTCTCTTGAAGTGATCCTTCTAATGCTGTCCAGAAGAACAGAGTACACACAAATAAGACTCAGGCCAACAAATGGATTGCAGTTAGGATCTCACATCTGGAAATCCTATAATGTTACTTGTTGCCAAATAGAGATGAAAATTGATGAACCTAGATCTCAAAGTGAGAATTTTTCTGTGGTTGGGAAACATTCAGGTGATAATGATCAATTTTTGAAATCTTATAATGAAAATACATTTATTAAAAATAAATAAAAAAACAAGTCATATCAATAAAAATATTTAAATCTATATTTCCCATAATACAACCATTCCATTTCTTGCTAGCTATAAAAGACAATGCAAAGGGATATAAAAGGATGGTAGATGTAACATCATTTATAGCGGGAGAAAACTGGACACAAATGTGTATCCACCCTAAACATCCAAAAATACGAGACTAAGTAAATAAATTACAGTATATCCATACTATGGAATACAATGCATTAGCTAAGAAGAATAAAGTAATACTACTGAAAAGAAAATACTTCTAAGACATACTAAAAATTGGGGGTGGGGGGGGAGTTGCAAAACAACAGATACAATGCAATGACACTTTATGAAAAACTAAATATTTGTATCAATAACTAAATATTATTAAAGATATATATCAACATACATTGAGATATACTGATTATTATAGATATATATCAAAGTACAATGAGTTGGACATGACTGAGCAACTGAACAACAATGTACATAAAGTATAAAAAAAGTCAGGAAGATATACACCTGGGTAATGTTCTGCTAAAGACTCTGGGACTATAAGCTGTAGTCAAGGGGGATTTCTCAGCTTTATATGTAAGATTGTGTGGTAGTTAATTTTATGTCAATTTGGCTAAACTATGATGCCCAACTGTTCAAACACCAGTCGAGTTGCTACGAAGCCAACATTTGGTGTTGGGGGGGGTGCACCACACAGCTTACAGGATCTCAGTTCCCCAAGAAGGGACTGAACCAAGGCCATGGTGGTGAAAGCATGTCCTAATTACTGGACTGCTGAGGAATTCCAAGATGGCATTTTTTAGATTAGCTGAAATTTAAATCTGTAGACTTGGAGTAAAGCAAATTACCCTTATAACGTGGGAAGGCTGTTTCCAATCAAATGCAGGCCTGAAGAGCAAAGACTAAGGTTTCCCAAAGGAAAAGCAATTCTGCCTCAAGACTGCAACACAAAAACCTTGCCTGAGATTCTGATCTATAGATTTCAGACTCAAAACCATATAAGTCTTTCCAGAATTTTCAGCTTGCTAGACTACTCGACAAATCTCAGACTTACCAGCTCCCACATTCGCACAAGCTAATTCCTTAAAGTAAATCAACCTCTTCCTCACCCTTCTCTCCTTCTGTCTATATGTATGTATATATACATACAGATATACATATATACAGATAGATATAGATCTCCTATTGATTTTGTTTCTCAGAGAACCCTGACTAATTTACTTTTTGTCTTCCTAATAAGGATATATTTCTGTTGTGTGTAATAAAAGATAAATTCATAAAATCTTGGCCCTTACCCAGTTATTCTTTAAAATTTTATAAAATGCTTCTTCATACATCCAACTAAAAAATGTGTGAGTATATTTTGAGCAGATGAAATAAGAATTATGGAAAGAATTTACAATTTACTAATGGAGAAACCTCCACTGAGATTTAATTTAACAAGTACTGTAGAAATGTAAGCTTGTTTAGCTTTAGTCAAATACATGGAATACTCAGGAATAGATAATGGATAAGTAAATAGTTTTAAAGTTGAAAAGTAGAAAAAAGGTCCAGGGAAATGAATTTAACAGTGTAGCTTCTTTATGGTCTTCTTAAAATTAAAGCATTAGAAATATAACAGAACCATGTGAAAACATTGTTTCCTATTTAACAACAAGGCCACTGACAACAAGAATATTTTTCAACATAAAATTCAAATGAACTAAGCTTTCTCTCCTGGAGCTTTCTCCCCTGGCTTCTGTAAGATGATCTTCCAACTCTGTAACCAACCACTATAATTCCCCACTGGGATTCAAGGAGAAAGGAATAATGACTTGACAATTAATTAAGCTACTTGTTCTACATGCATTTCCATCACATTATTTTGGCAATATTAAATACTGAAAGGTTTTTAAAGTGTAAAAATCTCAATTTGCACATACTGTTTTATCTTCCCGAAAAAGCCATCCAGTTTGGGCACGCGTGAAAGAAATTGATTTGGTGGATAAGGTTGCAGAGTAAATATCACTACTCATTAAAATGTCAACCTCTTCTTCTGTTTCCATCTCTGATTCCTGAGACGGAGGCAAAAGGTAGATATAAGAAACTAAGTTTTTAAAGGTTATTAGTGCCACAAATGAAAATATCAACAATTAAAACATTACACATTTCAAAAAGCAAAAAGGACCAATTCTAAAAACAATTACAGAAGTTTAAACGTCCTATCTCTAAATAAGTTGGGTTTCCCTTGTGGCTCAGCTGGTAAAGAATCCACATACAATGCGGGAGACCTGGGTTCGATCCCTGGGTTAGGACGATCCCCCATAGAAGAGAAAGGCTACCCACTCCAGTATTTTGGCCTAGAGAATTCCATGGACTGGATAGTCCATGGGGTTGCAAAGAGTCAGACATGACTAAGTGACTTTTACTTTTATCTAAATAAGTTAGAATTGTAACTAATTATGAATCTAAAAATACAGGACACATGAAAAATGTACCTTGTAATGAAAATAATAGTTTACCCCATCACAGAAATAGATAATGGAAATAATACTAGATTACCCATTACATAAACACAGAGTACGTAATTACAGAAGATTTAAGAATTAAGTAGACAGGTCTGAGACAAAATGCCTATACAAAGGTTTTGTTTTCTTTAAACACAGATGAATCTTACTTAATTTTTTTAACCTGAAGACCCACTGCTATCATTTGAACCCTTCTTTCCCAATAGTTTTAAGTGGAAGGAAGGAAGGGAAGAGAAGAAAGGAAAGAAAGGAAAGGAAAGAAAGGAAAGGAGTATAGGATCTTCTCTGTACTCATCATAGAAAGAAAAGGAATCCATAAATATCATCCCATGGTTTCCAAACTCAATTAGCAGCCTTGCTTCAACATATTCCACAGAGCTGGCATATAATAATTGATCAATAATTATTTTTTAAAAGAGAAAGCTTTGTGTTTGTTTCACGTACAGAAATATAACTAAATGACCAAGTACAGAAGAGTAACTGAGTAAGTTATAAATGAGGTTCTATTCTCTAATAGGCTAAGAGAGTTTCCCTGATACTTAGGACCACAGAGTCCGAAAGAGAGGAGGAGAAAAAAGGACGAACCCAGAGCCTTAGTGGAGAGTGAGAACCATCCATAGGGTTTACAATAACTAGAGGCTCTATTTTCCATATTTCCTGATTTCTAGATTCCCAAGAGGCCAAATTTTTATTCCTCACCACCAAACTTTCACCCACATTTCCTTCACCCTTGCAAGTGAGGAATGGAAAATCTTGACATTAATGCTAAGGCTGTAACAGATGAAAATGTATTCCTGATAACCCAAACTAATTCTGAACACAACTGCAAAATTTTGGCTGGCATAGATTGTATAGAACTATTAATCCTCATGATGCAAATATGTTATAAATGAGGATTTCATGTATTAGCTTGGGAACAACACTATATATAACACTACCTATGAAGAAATTTGCCTTAAGTTTCAAACATCCCATTTCAAATAAACTTTTTTTATATAATCTTATTTATGGATTTATTTTTGGCTGTGTGCAAGGGCTTTTCTCTAGTTTAGGTGAGTGGGTGCTGCTCTCTAGTTGTGGCACTGTGTTCTCATCACAGTGGCTCCTCGTGTTGCAGAACACAGGCTCCAGGGTGCAAGCTCAATAGTTGTGGCACATGGGCTTAGTTGATTCTTGACATGTGGGATCTTCCTGGACCAAGGATCACACCCATGTCTCTCTCTTGCACTGGCAGGCGGATTCTTTAGCAGTTAGCCATGAGGGAAGCCCGCAAAAAACATTTGAAACAGAACACTTCTATAAATTGTACACTGACTATCTCCTAACCACATCATTGAAAATGACCTGTTATTAATTACATTCACCCAGCAAACATTTAATAAAGTTATTACTTATATATATATATAGGAGAAAAAATCAAGCATTCCTTGCCTTGAGAATTACTGCTCACTATCTAGCTTTTCTATATTCTTTCAGACATAAAATACACACGCATATACCCTAAATACATCACCTAATATTTACACCACTAGCCTTAATCTCTGGCTTCTCTTTTAGTATCATCTTTCTAACTCATCTATTGCCTCATTAGCTATCCCATTTTTATTTAAGACACAAGAATTCAAATTATTTAGTACATTTCTGAAAGTCTAGAATAAAGGTCAGCAGACTATGAACAAGCAGTCAAATACAGTGCACCGCCTGCTTTCATAAGTAGAATTTTATTAGAACACAGCCATACTCATTCATTTATATATTGTTTAAGGTGACTTTTACGTTAATAACAACAGAGGTGAGTAGCTGTGACAGAGACCATATGACCCCACAAATATATTTAAATATCTAAAATATTGACTCTCTCCCTTACAGAAAGAGTTTGGCAAACTCTAGCTTAGAATGCACTGATGGCTGTATTAACTACCAGAGAATACAACTCAAAGAAGCCCACATAAAGTAATTAGCCTCCAACTAATAAAAATAAATGAAAAAATAAATAAATAAATAAATAAATAAATATGGGCAGAAGAGAAAAAAAAAAAAGAAGCCCACACCTTTGAGGAGCTTAGCCCCCAAAAAGAAGAATGCCATATAGATTAAAAAAAAAAAAAAGAAAGAAATAGCACTAGAAGCTCTACAGTATCAGATTTAGTGAAGCATCAAGAAAAGAATGGTCACCCAGGAGGGGAGGAAGTGACAACACTAAATAGGTATCCCACAGGGTGAGAGTGTAAAAAGTATATTCCTGGAAGTGGAAACATGAACAAAGGAATGGAATACTAAATAGCCTGGAAAAAACTGCAAAGAGTTCAGCATGAGGGTAGCTATGATAACACGGTAAGACAAACATGGGAAAAGTCAGCAAAAGCCACGTCATGAAGGAACCATGCCACGAGGAAGAAACTGGACTTCATTCTTCTTGGCAATAGGGAACTCCTAAAGTGTGTTTAAGGAAGACAAGTTTCATGAATTTGTTTTCAATGTTCAACCTATCTCCAATATGTGAGACAATTTAGAAGCAGAGAAGATGGGGGCCAGGAAGATCATTTATGAGACATTTGTGACAGTCCAGCTAACATAGTGAGGATCTAAATTATGGCAATAACAGCATGAATAAAAAAGGGATAATTATAAGGCATTTGGAGAGGGAAATGGAAACCCACTCCAGTATTATTGCCTGGAGAATCCCAGGGACAGAGAGAGGAGCCTGGTGGGCTGCTGTGCATGGGGTCGCACAGAGTCGGACACGACTGAAGCAATTTAGCATGCATGCACCCATAAGGCATTAGGAGGACAAGAATAACCACACATGTTCTCTAATTAGGAACCTGAGAGTACAAGAAAAGATGTCCAAAAAATTACAAGCTTTCTGAACAGAAAATGATGTCAATCACCAAAAGAAAGAAAATGGGAGAACAGGCACCCTGGAGGGAAAATAATGAGTTAAGTCTTCACTAAACTGAATTTTCAGGTACTTAAGAGACACATATGATACACAATAGGCATTTAAATAGGTCCCCACTCAGAAGATCTGAGTTACAAGTATATACTCGTGAATTATCAACTAATAAGAGGTAGTGAGAGCTGTGGGGATATTCTGGCAATTTGTAAAAATGAGAACAACAAAGGGCCTATCAATATTCAAGGAGTAAGCAGAGAAAGAGCCGCTTGAAGAAAGTAAAAGAGGAGGGTGAAAAAGTTGGCTTAAAGCTCAACTTTCAGAAAACTAAGATCACGGCATCCGGTCCCATGACTTCATGGCAAATAGATGGTGATACAGTGGAAACAGTGGCTGACTTTATTTTTCTGGGCCCAAAATCACTGCAGATAGTGACTGCACCCATGAAATTAAAAAACGCTTACTCCTTGGAAGGAAAGTTATGAACAACTTAGACAGCATATTAAAAGCAGAGACATTACTTTGCCAAAAAAGGTCCATCTAGTCAAGGCTTTGGTTTTTCCAGTAGTGATGTATGGATGTGAGAGTTGGACTATAAAGAAAGCTGAGTGCAGAAGAACTGATGCTTTTGAACTGTGGTGCTGGACAAGACTCTTGAGAGTCCCTTGGACTGCAAGGAGATCCAACCAGTCCATCCTAAAGGAGATCAGTCCCAGGTGTTCATTGGAAGGACTGATGTTGAAGCTGAAACTCCAGTAGTTTGGCCACCTGATGCAAAGAGTTGACTCATTTGAAAAGACCCTGATGTTGGGAAAGATTTAAGGTAGGAGGAGAAGGGGACGACAGAGGATGAGATGGTTGGATGGCATCACTGACTCAATGGACATGACTTTGGGTAGGCTCCGGGAGTTGGTGATGGACAGAGAGGCCTGGAGTGCTGTAGTTCATGGGGTCGCAAAGAGTCAGACACGACTGAGTGACTGAACTGAACTGAACTGAGACAGAGAAAAAGGAAGAGGCAAAAGAGAGTAAGACGGAAACATGGGAAAAGAACATCTATTGGCCAAAGTCAAATCACAAGGAAATGAAATTTTAAGAACTGAGTTACTAATAATAGAAAACACTTCAGAGACATCTATATAAAGAGAAGGTTGAAACAAGTGCACTGATATCAGCAATGGATTCATTATCAACATCCCCTAAAACCCCAAACCCTACTTCCTTTTCCAAATGCTCCAATGTATCAGTGAAACCACCATCATGTACACTACATATAGTCTGTGCAGTGTGCAATACCATCATGCTTAAAAAGCAAGGTACATACCTTAATTTTAAAATATCAATATACTTTACTGCTAAAAATGCTAGCCATCATCTGAACCGTCAGTGAATCATAATCTGTTTGCTGGTGAGGATTCAAAATATTTCAGTTCAGTTCAGTCGCTCAGTCATGTCCAACTCTTTGCAACCTCATGAACCACAGCACGCCAGGCCTCCCTATCCATCACCAACTCCCGGAGTTTATCCAAACTCATGTCCAATCGAGTTGGTGATGCCATCCAACCATCTCATCCTCTATCATCCCCTTCTCGTCCTGCCCTCAATCTTTCCCAGCATCAGGGTCTTTTCAAATGAGTCAACTCTTCGCATCAGGTGGCCAAAGTATTGGAGTTTCAGCTTCAACATCAGTCCTTCCAATGAACACCTGGGACTGATCTCCTTTAGGATGGACTGGTTGGATCTCCTTGCAGTCCAAGGGACTCTCAAGAGTCTTGTCCAGCACCACAGTTCAAAAGCATCAGTTCTTCTGCACTCAGCTTTCTTTATCGTACAACTTTCACATCCATACATGACTACTGGAAAAACCAAAGCCTTGACTAGATGGACCTTTGTTGACAAAATAATGTCTCTGCTTTTTAATATGCTGTGTAGGTTGGTCATAACTTTCCTTCCAAGGGGTAAGTGTTTTTTAATTTCATGGCTGCAATCACCATCTGCAGTGATTTTGGAACCCAAAAAAATAAAGTCAGCCACTGTTTCCACTGTATCACCATCTATTTGCCATGAAGTGACAGGACCAGATGCCATGATCTTAGTTTTCTGAATGCTGAGTTTTAAGCCAGCCTTTTCACTCTCCTCTTCCATCAAGAGGCTCTTTAGTTCCTCTTTGCTTTCTGCCATAAGGGTGGTCATCTGAATATCTGAGGTTATTGATATTTCTCCTGGCAATCTTGATTCCAGCTTGTGCTTCATCCAGCCCAGCATTCTGCATGATGTACTCTGCATATAAGTTAAATAAGCAGGGTGACAATATACAGCCTTGACATACTCTTTGGGATTGGAATGAAAACTGAACTTTTCTAGTCCTGTGACCACTGCTGAGTTTTCCAGATTTGCTGGCATGTTGAGTGCAGCACTTTGACAGCATCATCTTTTAGGATTTGAAATAGTTCAACTGGAATTCCATCACCTCCACTAGCTTTGTTTCTTAGTGATGCATCTTAATACCCACTCAACTTCACACTCCAGGATGTCTAGCTCTAGCTGAGTTATTACACCACTGTGGATTTTATCCGATCCTTAAGATCTTTTTGTATAGTTCTTCTGTGTATTCTTGCCACCTCTTCTTAATATCTTCTGCTTCTGTTAGGTCCATACCATTTCTCTTCTTTATTGTGCACATCTTTGCATGAAATGTTCCCTTACTATCTCACATTTTCTTGAAGAAACCGCTAGTCTTTCCCATTCTATTGTTTTCCTCTATTTCTTTGCATTGATCACTTAGGAAGGCTTTCTTCTCTCTCCTTGCTATTCTTTGCAACTCTGTATTCATATATGATAGTAACTGATATACAGTTGGCCCTCCATATTTACAGGTTCCACATCTACAGATACAACCAACCAAGGATGAAAAATATTTTGGGAAAAGATTCCAGAAAGTTCCAAAAACCAAAATTTAAACTTGCCACGAAGTCCAGTCAACTATTTACAAGGCATTTACACTGTACAACTATTTACTTGTGCGTCTGTGGATTTTGGTAACCTCAGGGTTCCTAGCATCATTCCCTGGCAGATACCAAGGGACAAACTATATACTATTAATACAATGCCACTATACATAGCACCTGCTACTGCTGCTGCTAAGTCGCTTCAGTAGTGTCTGACTCTTTGCAACCCCATAGACGGCAGCCCAACAGGCTCCTCTGTCCCTGGGATTCTCCATGCAAGAACACTGGAGTGGGTTGCCATTTCCTTCTTCAATGCCTGCATGCATGCTAAGTCGCTTCAGTCGTGTCTGACTCTGTGTGACCCAATGGACAGCAGCCCTCCAGGCTCCTCTGTCCACAGGATTCTCCAGGCAAGAATACTGGAGTGGGTAGCCATTTCCTTCTCCATACGTAGCACCTAGCAGTGTCTAGATGCATTTTATTAGGTCCTTGAAAATGTTTAAGGAAGGGAGGGAAGGAGGAAAAGTCAAAGAACTATGTAAAATTAATTCACATAAATTACTTTTTGATCATATCAATATGCTGTTTAAGAATCTTGCTCTGTTATCAACTATGTGTGCCTGCATAAAATAAAAATAAAAACAAAATAAAACGAACAGTGATAAAACAAAATGTTGATTTAAGAACATCTGTAGGGCTATCAATGATATATATATAGATACTATAAAAGCTGTTTCTTTGGTTTACAGCAGGGAAAGGAGCTTTTAGGGAACAATGGATCAAGATAATGCTGCGCATGGTTTTTCAAAGGTGGTTGTAAAGGCAAAACCAATATGGAGATACGGTGTTTAGAAGGAATATAATTTTACACTTTAAGAGCAAAAAGAAAGAGAAAAGAAAGCTAGCCAAAGAGTTAGGGATAGTAAAAGGGTCCAAAGAACCAAAAAAGGTGGTCATATTAAAAAGAAAGAGATGGTTTACAACCCTAAAATAAAGTAGGGCCAGAGCAGGTTCAATAAATGAGAACTACAAGAAGTTATTAGAGTTTATTTAACCAGGAGATCATCAGTGAATTATGAGCAAACAGACTCAATAGTTTAGTCAGGATAAAGAACAGATGATAACAAAAATTTTTTTTAAATACTAGAGGTAAGAAAATGGAAACTTTTGGAATAAACCATCTCAATTATGTCTTATGTCTTTCAAAACAATTACACTGAGGCTTGGCTGCATACACAGACATTTTTTTTAAACAATTTACAGGAATTTGCTCAACATGCTCACCTCATGGTGTATTCGCTGATAAACTTTTTGTTCATTGTCTAATACTACAAAAGATTCAGAGGGTGCCGCATCCCCATTGAAAATGAAGCTTAAATCCCCTCGTTGGCACTTCATGTCACTAAAGTCTATGAGAGTAGTGTCAAGCCTGTGAAAGATGGATAGATGAGAAATTCTGACAAATAAAATTTCAATAAAACTCCATATTAATGAAACAAGCTTTGTTCCTTCTAAACTCAAACCAAGAGGCTAATACCATATTTCAAAGCCAAACTTATAGATAAGAGCTAAATTTAAAATATCTCATTAAAAAACACCAAAAGAATATTTAAATATATATTCAGTTTTACCTATATTTCATTTTCCTGAATGTATAACTTCATTAATCCAGCAGGTGGAAGGTTGTTTTCCCATTGCCGACGCATTTCTCTACCTGTACCCCATTCTATTTCCCGCCCTTCCTGACCTTAAGGAAGAAGGGCAGAAAAGGAAAGCAAACCTGTCTAACACTTTTTGATCCCTTTAAGACCAAGTTGCTAGCTCAGCAGAGTACAGCTGACCCTTGACCACAGGGGTTTGGAGCACTGACTCCCATCCCCTCCATATATAACTTTACAGTTGGCCCTCCATAGGTACATTTCTACACTCTCAGATTCAACCAACCTTGGGTCATGTAGTACTATAATATATATTTACTGAAAAAAGATCTGTGTATAAGAAGGCCCAAGTAGTTCAAACCAGTACTGTTCAAAGGTCTGCTGTATATATGAAGAGTATAGCAATGGATGGACCACATTCTCAGATTAAGGACTGTGTGTCCACAGCCTGGTCCTTGTGAGCTGCATCAATGCTGATGCTTAATCATACAGTACGAAACCTTGCTTCATCCTTCAATGCAATAAACCATTTGATTTACTCCAAATTCTTGGCCTTTTTGTTTGACTCCTCAGATTCAGATTAGCATTCTCTTTCCCAACATTTTCTTTTCTAACATCCCCACAGCCTGAAACATTATGGGCAAATATTTCCTATGGGCAAATATTCATGTATTCAAACACCTGTATGTTTGTTGTGTTCATTGTAACCAAGACCTGACATGGTTGACCCAATGGGTTGGTCTCAAATAAATTCTAGAAACCACTCCTTGGTGAAATTAGAGAGAATAATGGAGTGGGAAAGTTTACAAGTACCCTGATGTGCTTCAATCTTGCCCACGGCTTTGTGGTCTCCAGATCACCACATCAGGACATCACCACATCTCTGACTAGCTGCTCAAAACACAGTCCTTAATCTAAGAAATAGGCTCACACAGCTGTTAAGAAATGCTGATCACACCCAACAAAAGAAAATTTCTTTTAAGTCTTTGTGAGAGGTCCGCCCTGGCTACCGAGTTTCTAACACAATGTAAGAACTCATTACTTTGTAGGATTTTCCATTCTCACCATAGACAAGGCAAATGAGTGGGCACTACTGGTTTCCCTTTATAGAAGTTGAAAAATGGAACATATTTCACAGGCTGCATCAAAAGAATAACCAAGGTTACATATAATTTAACTCCCAAACTAGTAACTTTTGAAAGTGAAGGTGACACTATTAATAATTTTACTAGGGCAACAGAGATGAATAGGGAAGTATGATTAATCTATGTATAAGAAGCTCTTTTCTGAGTCATGTGAAATATATACACCCCTCAGAGTCAAATAAGAAGTCCTAAAAAAATAGCAAGGCACCAACTCCTGTAGGAGTGAACTTGACCTGCTGTTTTATAGTTGAATTCTTGCTCCTGGTCCACTTTCAGTGGCCTGCTACTGCAGTATTGGTGCTTGTCTACTAAACATACTCTGTTATTGCTTGTACATGTGGCACAAGAGAAAATGATGCCCATAAAAGGGGCTTATCTCTTACCTCTATAAGATGTGGGCTACTTAAGTCTCAAAAAGGGGACAGATCATTTTATATGAGTGGCCTATTTGGACTCCATGCTTCAGCTACCAGGGAACTCTATACCCCTCAAAAAAAGAAGTCTGGGCCTCTGGGCCTATTCTATAGTCCTTTGCCTCCACTCCCTTCTTGCCCATTCTGGGTGAGAATAGTAGTGGGTTGCAAAAGGTGGGGGTGAGAGAAGAGATGCACAGAGAGACAAAGACAGACTGACATTGGCAACATTTGAGCCCTTAAATCTAGCCACACCTAAAACCAGTCATTGTCAATTTTTATATGTGTTTTCATAATTTGCAACTGAAAGACTATCTAATACAACTTAGATATTAGACATATTAGATGGCATAGTAAGCTGTATCAAACATGCCTCATAATGATATAATTTATCATGGTGATATTTTAATGTATTAACTAGTCCTTGGCTTTCAGCTTAATGAGCCTAAATACTTCTAATTTTTACCATGTAATTCACCATGAAGGACATACAGTTCTTTATACAAAAAGATTCAAATAGAAAATGTTCTTTTACAGATAAAAACTTGATAAATGCCCAAGTAACAGTGAAAAGAAAATAGGGCCTACCCTTGAGATAGGAAGAGCTCAAATGAGACAGTTCGCAAAGATTATTTAGGTCAATGGCTATATATTACCTTAAAATTATTAATAGTGAAAATATCTATTAGTATTCTCAACAATAAAGTTGTTCATATTACTATTTCTACTAAAATATGAATTTCTCCTAGACACCAAAGAATATATTGTGTTGTTTTTTGCCCATGCAGCTTACAGGATCTTAGTTCCCCAACAAGAGATGGAATCTATGTTCTTGGTAGTGAAAGCATGCAGTTCTAACTACTTGATCGCCAGGGGATTCCCAAAGAAGATACTTTAAATAATCACACTGCTGTCATGAGATACAAGTAAAAATCATTTGAAGTAATGTTTAAAAGAACTAATTATCTCATGATATTTAAATGTGAAAGTTTTTACTTCATGTTAACAAACTTGTTTTTCTTTTAATTCTTCATCTATGCAAAAAACCTTTACCATACATTCCTAAATGCAGCTTCTCCATTACTCTAGTTAACTTTGATAACCAGCATTTTGAACCTATCACTCCTTCGACCTCAGTAAAGAGCTCACCTGTTAGCAAGCCCCAGGCTTCAGTGTCTTACTAAATTACAGCAGCTTCCCTTAAGCTACCTTCTTTGACACAATTATTCTCTCAGGCTCTTATTCTCATATGTCTATCTTAGCCATTTTGTGGGGGTTTTTTTAATCATCTATATTTATTATGTAATATGCATCATGTCATTTACTTTTAAAAGATATATATAAATTGAAATAATTTTTTAAAAGAAAGAAGCTCCTTTTCTCCTAAATTTAAGAATCAAACGGAACTAAAACTAACCTTTAATGCAGCACATGGAAGACAATACTATTTCCCAAGTTATCTACTAATTTTGGCAAGTACCTATATCAAAAATTTTTAAACTGATAATTTTTTGAAATCCATAATATATTGCTAACAACAGACTACTGAATTAAATCTATATCATTAACAAATCCTTTCATATTTTTTCATCTATACTGTGTTTTCCAAGGTTTCTGTAATGACCATAAATTTAATGTGCATGAGAACTTTCATGATGAGCAATATCTGAGGAGGTTATATTTAAAAAACAAAAACATGGAAAACTCTACCCTAGCCAATAGAATTTTGCTTGAGAATAATTACCCTAGAATTTATTTCTAACTAAAGGTCATCTCTTCACTATAATTCATCATACTTAATAATTAACCTCATAAACAGCTGATTTTCTTTAAATTTCTGTCTTGTGATGTGATAAGAAGTCACATGATAAAAAGACAGTAAATCAGAGAGGTCCCGGCTCAGCCATTAATTTGCAATATGCTCATAAAAATCACTTCACCTTTCTGAACTTTCTAATCTATAAAATGAAGAGTTTATATAACTTTTTAAGACATCTCTAGTTCTAGACCTCTACATACTCAAATTAATATTGTGAATTTTTATAAACACAGGCATATAAAATTATATGTATACATATGTAAATATACTAATATGAATACATTAAAATGGGGACATCTCCTGGCAGTCTAGTGGTTAGGACTGTGCACTCTTAATGCTCAGGGCCCAAGTTTGATCCCTGGTTGGGGAACTAAAATCCCACAAGCTGCACAGTACGGCTAGTTAAAAAAAAGTTGGCATATTCACTGGCATTCTTATATAGCTTAAATAGGTATCATTTATATAATTTATTGTTCAATGCTAAGTCGTGTCCAACTCTGCAACACCATGGACTGCAGCACACCAGACACCTCTGTCCTCCACTATCTCCCAGAATTTGCTCCAATTCATGTCCATTCAGTCAGTGATACTAACTAACCACCTCATCCTCTGCCACCCACTTCTCCTTTTGCCTTCAATCTTTCCGAGCATGAGGGTCTTTCCCAATGACTCAGCTCTTTGCATCAGGTGACAAAGTATTGGAGCTTCAACTTCAGCATCAGTCCTTCCAATGAATGTTCAGGGCTGATTTCCTTTAGGATTGACTGGTTTGATCTCCCTGCTATCCAAGGGACTCTTAACATTAAAAAAAACTAAGATCATGGCATGTGGTCATCCCATTATTTCAAGGCAAACAGAAGGGGAAAAAATGGAAGCAGTGACAGATTTTATTTTCTTGGGCTTCAAAATCACTGCAGATGGTGACTGAAGCCATGAAATTCAAAGACATTTGCTCCTTGGAGGAAAGCTATGGCAAACTTAGATAGCATATTAAAAAGCAGAGATACCACTTTGCTAACATAGATAGGTCCATCTACTCAAAGCTACGGTTTTTCTAGTAGTCATACACGGATGTGAGAGTTGGGCCATAAAGAAAGCTGAGTGCTGAAAAAGTGATCATTTATAAATATACCTATATTAATATAAAGAAGTAATGATAAAATTCTGAAATGAGTAAAATAAATAGATTCTCCATGAGATCCAAATATCAATTTAAAAAGAAAACAGAAGAAAATTAAAACTAGCCTTAAAAAATATTCACTAGAATGGGTAAATGAATGGCTAGAAGCATGAGTGGGAAGATAAGGGAGGGAACAGTAGGAAAGAGATGCAGTAAAAAAGGACAAGAGTTGGGTCCTCCTAATGTTGTTCCTCATTCCCTAAAAAGCTAGGAAGAGGGGCATGACCATCTTAAATCTTCTTGGTATTGTATTATGATCTTCATTCTACTTGCCTTCTAGATAGTCTGTAGTTGAACAATAATACCTTTGTTTTAGTCATGATTTTATGCCTTTGGTTTCTTATCTCTAGTACCTCAAGGGAGATAAAACATTGTGAATATATTATGACATGTTTAAGTTATAAAATACTACATCCATGTATAAGCTTCTACAACAGAAAGAAAAGCTTCCTCTAAATTTCAGTTATCTGTTACTAAGAGAAAAATAAAATCACCTTACCTGATATTGATACCTTGCTTGTATATTTTACATGCATCAGAAGGCAGAATTCGGGAAAGTAAAGGCACTGTATTGGTAAAAAGAAAAGTGAAAAATAACCACCTAAAGTTCTGAGACATTATAAATTTTTTAATTAGAAGAACAGTAATGTAACCTTTTACTATTTTATCAAAATTGTCATAATTTCCTTTAAAAATAGCATTTTTCCACTGAAAAATAATACACAAAGCAATTTTGAGCAACTTCAAATATCTACTATTTAATTGTAATTACCATCACCACCTGGAGAAGGAAATGGCAACCCACTCCAGTAATTCCTGCCTGGAGAATCCCAAGGACAGAGGAGCCTGGTGGGCTACAGTTCACGGGGTAGCAAAGAGTTGGATACGACTGAGCGACTTCACTTTCACTTCCACCAGCACCACCACCCACCACCAAATACAAATAAGAGTAGCAGAACTAATGCAGTGCCATTCTTGGTAGATATTGCAGGATGCTACTGTTAGTGAGAAAACAAGGCCTTTTAGTAACTAAACCCTCCTGAAGGGGTAACCAGATAAACCTGGATCTCATCTAATTCTTTATATATAATTGCATAAAATACCAGAAAAGTAATATGTGTAATAGAAAAATACACTTTTAGAGCTAGTTGAATTTGGGTTTGAATCCTAAATACATAGATTACTCAATAAGCTCAATGTACATTAGTTTTAAAATTCTTAAAATACAATCATACTATTGAATTATACATTTCTACATTCCAGTGTTGCTCACATTCATATCATAAGCTATATTCTTATAGCTTTTTAATATTCATTATCTGCTATATTTTGAGGAAAGAAGAGTTATTCTATGGATAAATAAATCTACATAACAGGCTATAAAATTAAACTACCATATACCAAAAAAAGAAAAGAATGTGAAACTCAAAATTCTTGAAATTAAAGATCTCATCACATGTACAGGTGTATGTATGTGTGTGTGTTTATCTGTGTAAGATGTATTACATGTATATTTTATAAAACTCAAGTGTTTTAAAAATGGGTGATAAAAATCAACCTGGTTAGAAAGAAAGACCCTGGAGAAAACTAAAGGCTAGGTTTTTAGTTAACTTTTTCAAAAGTTTTCTGAATTTTTGAATATTTTCTAATTAACATTAAAAGCTTTTTTAATTCTTTAGAGGTTATTCAATCTAAAGTGAATACATAATTAAAGACAGTTTTCTAGACTTTTTATTTTATAAAAATAAGAAAAGTTTACAGCCCAGAAGGAGTATCACCTAAAAGTTACCCTGGTCAAAGAATATAAGAAATCATTTTCCAATCAAATTTTTCCTTATATGAAACAACAGAAGTTAAGAAGAGTAATAGTGGCATATGTGTGTGCGTGCTAAGTCACTTCAGTCATGTCCAACTCTTTATGACCCCATGGACTGTAGCCTGCCAGGCTTCTCTATCCATGGGATTCTCCAGGCAGGAATACTAGAGTGGGTTGCCGTTTCCTACTCCAATAATGGCATAAATCTATATAAATGATCAAAGCTCCTCTTTCTTACTTATTTGACCAATTAGATGCCGAGAAGGTACTAGCATTTTCAGGTCTAATTAATGTGATCTCTGCCAATGTGTCTGGTTGTTTAAAGTAAAAGATAACATGGGAGGGTCTTTCTTACTTATTAATTAAGATCTACTTTTTCTGTTCTTAAATATTTGATTTCAATGCATTCCAAAAACAGAGCAATTTGCATTTTCCCAATTTTGTGATGACTTTTTCTTCCCCTATGTAAACTGAACAATTAGGCTCTCTATGTCTTAAGTTATTTCAACTGTATCTGAGAGTCTAACATAGTACTCCAAAGGCAGTATAATCCACTGACCTGAAAAATGAATAGTCTCTAAGTTTTCATTCTGGCTTTGCTGTCACTTACTCCCTGATTTTAAGAAGAGTCTAGGCCTGATGTTTTCCATCTATAATACGCAAAAAAAAAAAAAAGTCCTAAAAACAGGACAGATATTCTGTAGATTATGAGATAAAGAAAAAAACTATTAGTTCTTCTGTTGAAACATACCATACACATAATGTTAAGTTTGTAGTGATTATAATACTATAAATTATCTAACACTTTACAGCATCTAAAGTGCTTCCTTCAAAAACATGATTTCATTTCATCTACACCAAAACAAAGACTTGAAAATAGGTGGGATGTTTATTCCTACTCCCACTTTTAAAAGGAAACTGCTGAAGCTCAGTAAAAATATGTGATTTTCCATGTCAAATAGGAGCCAGTACTTCTGATTCCATTTTAAGGCTTTTCTATACCTAAAAACTCACTCTGGAATAATTTAGTTGCCTTGAGACTTGCTATTAACCAAGTCTGAGGCTATTTTCAGCCAAAACTTAAGGAGAAAGAGTGGAGTTTTTGTGCTCCACTACCACTAAACTAAACTTAGCCCTGGATCTCAGTATTTCTTAACTTGCCCTTATTTCTGGGTTGCCTCTTTCTTTCTTTTTTTTTTTTAATATCAGGGACTTTAACAAGGGAGGAAGCATGCCTAAACTCTAGGAAAAAGCTTGATAATCAAATCTTATGACAGAGATTATCTAATGTTTTTTAATCCAAAGCATCTAAACTATATCTAGCCAATGAGTTTAGTTTTTAGAATGACAGATGACATCCAACCATCAGGTGCTAATAATGTGACATGAAATCAGTAAAAACCTTTATCAACAATGAACCAGATGTGCTAACTTTCTTGCATCAAAGTCAAGTTTTCAGAGAAGCAATACATTTATTTAAAAATAATTTTTATTATATTTTCCCATGTCTTGGGGCATGTGGGATCTCTGTTCTCCAATCAGGGATTGAACCCAATGCCCCTGCTCAGAGTCTTAACCACTGGACCACCAGGGAAGTCCCAGAAGCAATACTTTAAACAAGTACCTCAGTGGTTACATAATAAACTTGATTATGCAACAGTTACAATGTGTTTACAACTACAGATAATATGTGCAATTTCAGGAGTAATTATATCCATTTCAATTTGTTCATGTAATTGAAATGTCACTTTTAAAATATTTTAGAATATTTTGCTCAGCAAGATAAAGTGACAATTTTAGAATCCAAAACACTAACAGTTACTAAGACAGTCAATTAAAGAGCCAGTATACTCTAAGATCAGCAAGAATGACTGGGGTCTGTATAGATAGAAAAAAAAACAGTGAAAAAAATAGCATGCAGACTTTATACCAATCTAACCTGGAGTTCTTTTATTACATAATGCTACTACATCTCTTTTTCTTTTGGTATTCTAGGACACTGGGACTTCTGAATGATAGAGATAAAGCATTATCAGAGTTAAGAAAATCTTGGGTGAGTTTTTTTGGCCACACCATGGCACTTGTGGGATCTCAGTTCTCCACAAGGGATTGAAACTGGGCCAGAGTCAGTGGTAGAGTCCACTTGCAATGCTGGCGACAGAGTTTGACCGCTAGGTCAGGAAGATCCCCCTGGAAAAGGAAATGGCAATCCACTCCGGTATTCTTGCCTGGAGAATTCCATGGACAGAGGATCCTAGTGGACTACAGTCCACGAGGTCACAAAAAGAGTCAGATGGGACTTAGTGACTAAACAACAACACCACCATCTACAGCAGGAGTGAAAGCCCAGAATCCTAACCACTAGACCACCAGGGAACTCCCGTATGTGTGATTTTGATGGAGCCAAAATCAGCCTGATAAGCCAAAGTTGTAACTGATTATATTTAGGGATTAAAATTTTATATTTAGAGATTAAATAACAGAAACATCTTAATCACCCATCTCATAAAGTATTATGCTGCTGTTTTTTTAAAGAGGAAGTACTTCTTCTTGAACTAGAATGTAAGATATTTATGATAGATTAAGTAAAAATGACAAAATGCATAATAATTGTGTGATTTCATTTAAAAAACTAATACTGAGGCTATATATATATATATATTTATATTTATATGTGTGTACAAACACATGTTCATAAGCATTGAAAAGAGTTTGAAAATATTCATATGAAACATTAATAGTCACCTCCAGAGTGGTCTCTGTCAGTATATTATTTATTGTTATGATTATTTTATGATTTATTTTTATGATTATTTTGGTGATAAGCATTCAAATGTTTATATTATAAAGATTAATTCAGATGCTTTAGAAAACACACATAAGCACACTATATTATCCAATATATATAGAGATTACATTAAAAAATGTTTAACCCAAAAGTCAGTTGTTTGGATAGTTATTTATTTAGTAAAGTACAGGTCACTAGGATCAAACTTCTTATTTGGACACAAAAGTTTCCTAAGTAGACTCAAGTTTAAAATGAGGAAGAGAGAAAACTTACCTTACCGAGGTAAATAAAAAATGACTATAAAATATCTAGGAATTAACATCTTTTATAAATAAGTGGAATAGTGTGCAACCAAACAGTGTGTTAAGACAGTGGCTATAAAGTATGCAATAAAAGCAGCAAAAGTGATTGAAGGATGACAAAATAGACAAAATCAATTAATGTTAACCGAATTCTTCACATTTAAATACTGTATGTCACATCTAAATACTGTATGTCAAATTTCCCTAAATTCGGTAATCTAATAATCCCATAGTTATTCTTCTCTTCTCTCTGAAAATTCCTCACATTAAATTATTATATTTGAACAAGCATTTCGTTTTTGAATAAGACAATTTTTTACCTTAAAAAAATCATATGGAAGTTAATAATCAGGTTGGGATAATGAAATATTACTATAGGGCTGTATGGGCTTCCCCGCTGGCTCAGACAGTATACAATCTGCCTGCACTGTGGGAGACCTGGGTTCAAACCCTGGTTTGGGAAGATCCACTGGAGAAGGGAATAGCAACCCACTCCAGTATTCATTGGACAGAGGAGATGAGCAAGCTATAGTCCATGGGGTCTCAAAGAGTTGAACAGAACTGAGCGACTCATACACACAGGGTTTTATAACCATTATATTCAACAGGATGAAAAATATTTAAATTTCTTTACAGCAAGTATTGGTTATTTTAACATTTCTATATAATAGTTATTTTTGCACTTGCATTTTCGCATACCTACATATTTTACAGTAAAACATAGCACATTCTTACCCCAGCTTTGAAAATCCCAGTGAAGTTCAAGATAAAAGTCACCTAGCTGAGAAATGAAATATGTATAATTAGTAAATGCATACCTTAGTCAACAGCTCTTATACCTACTTAACATTTTGCTTTAAAAAAATATGTTATCATTAAAGATATACAGACAGAAATAGGAAATAATTTCAATTATGGGGTTGAAGAACCAAAATATATATATATATATATATATATATATATATATATATATATATATATATAGTTATTACTTAAAATAATGTTACAATAGCAGACATTACTACACTTATCTACAAAGGAAAATACACACCACTCTAGATTCTACAAGAACATTTTAATCACATAAAACTGATAGGCATTTAAATTTGCATCAATAAATATTCCACTTCTCAGTATAACCAAAACCAAATGAGTAGTATTGTGAAAATAGTTAATAACTTTAGAAGTGTTATAAAAAAACTTCTAAAATGATTATTGTGTAGGGTCATAATGATCTAATAAAATCACTCACTGCAACAGAAACTTTTTTCCTATAAAGTGAGAACACAAGTTTTCTAAATCTGAAATAATATGTCATCATATTATCTATAGACAATGTTTTAATTTTTTAAATTAGAAGCTAAACAACTATAACTGTTCAAGGAACTATTAATCAAATAGTCTCAAAAAATTTTATCCCTTGAGATTTCAAAAAATAGCATACCTAAAAGAAGACATAGTCATAGGTCTTTCTCCCACAGTTTTTTCAGGCATCCAAAATAAAGAGAAAAAAATAACAGAAAACAAACCTCTCTCCCTTTCTGCACCACTACACCCAGCTCTACCATCATGAAGTAGGACAGATAAAGAGTTTTGTTATATACAGAAAATGCAAACTGCCCCTACTAGCAGTAGAGGCTTTTGCTCATAGAAAATTTTTGAATCCAAAGGACAAAGGAAAATTACTTCCATTAATTATCACTTACCTTCTTTTTTCTTAGAGCTGTTAGCTAATTTATTGAAAGCAATAATTCTTTATCTACCTTCTAAGTTCAAAGCAAATAATGCTTCCCATAAGATTACACACTATAATCAGTATTTCTTAATGTCATTACTGCTTAATTGAAGCACGATTTTTACTATTTCTTGACCCTTAATAATTAGCGAAAAATTAAACTGCATTTTTTAAATGCTTAAAAGTACACTTGCAATTATAGTTCAGGTACAAAATCAGTCAAGAAATTCAGCTTACCTCTTTCAGGGCTTTTAATAATCGAGGTCGTTTTTCTTCAACACTTTCCCTGGATTGCTGCTTAAGCTTCCTTAAAAGAGCTGTAACTAAAATTTAAATTTCAAAAAAAAATTTAATTTAAAATACATTTTGCCATGTTAGACTGCTAATTATACCTCAAAAAAAATTGTGAAAAAAAATGTCACCATGCTAAGAAACACCACTGGCTTATTACACACAGATATAATACAGATATTGTGAATATGTTAGATAATACCTTTGGCAAAGCTGTTATGATCCTCAAGAAAAAATGAAAGGAGATACCTCAACATCAACTTCCAGTCATACTAGCTTTGGTGGTCTTTAATCATCAGCAAGGCTTCATCTGACTGAGTTAAGATTTCCAACCTCAGTCAGATGATGCAATGTCCTGTTGTTAACATTGATCTAAAAGATGATCTCAAAGATAGAAAATCTCAAAAATCATACTAGATATTATTTTTCTAAAAATGCAATTATCTACAAAATGTTACCAGTTACATCTGTTCTTTTACTTGAGACTGTACTTTTTCTCACATACTACCAACACAGCATAAAAAATACTAAAATGAACCCTATTCTATCTGTAAAAAGAACTTCTGACTCTAAACAAAAACCCTGAAACCTCCACAGTGTCTTCTCAATAGTTGACAGATATTTAGACAAATTGTTTAAGTGCAAACCACAGCTTTACTACTTATTAGCTGTGTCAATATGGAACACTTATTTAATTTCCCTAAACTTCAGTTTCTTTTTTTCATTTGTCAAGTAAGAATAAATCTATATTAAAATCTATAGTAAATCTCAAGTAAAATCTACTATAAAGAGTTACTATAGAGGCTCAATATAAACTGCTTACTACCATGCCTGCAATTAGGTAATAGGAGTTTTGTTTACTAGAATGAAGGTCTAAACTATACCAGCAAACTCAATCCATCTCTCACATTTACTGACATAAGGGAAAACATAAGCCTTGAATAAAATAAGATAAAAATGTATTAGTGGGGTGGAGAATGTATACATCAATATATGGTGGAAGAGGAGAGTGAAAAAGTTGGCTTAAAGCTCAACATTCAGAAAACTAAAATCATGGCAGCCGGTCCCATCACTTCATGGCAAATAGATGGGAAAACAGTGGAAACAGTGGCTGACTATTTTCTTGGGCTCCAAAATCACTGCAGATGGTGACTGCAGCCATGAAATTAAAAGACACTTCCTCCTTGGAAGGAAAGTTATGAACAACCTAGATAGCATATTAAAAAGCAGAGACATTACTTTGCCAACAAAGGTCCACCTAGTCAAGGCGATGGTTTTTCCAGTAGTTATGTATGGATGTGAGAGTTGGACTATAAAGAAAGCTGAGTGCAGAAGAACTGATGCTTTTGAACTGTGGTGCTGGACAAGACTCTTGAGAGTCCCTTGGACTGCAAGGAGATCCAACCAGTCCATCCTAAAGGAGATCAGTCCTGGGTGTTCATTGGAAGGACTGATGTTGAAGCTGAAACTCCAATACGTTGGCCACCTGATGCGAAGAGCTGACTCATTTGAAAAGACCCTGATGCTGGGAAAGATTGAGGGCAGGACGAGAAGGGGACAACAGGGGATAAAATGGTTGGATGGCATCACCGACTCAATGGACATGAGTTTGGGTAAACTCCAGGAGTTGGTGATGGACAGGGAGGCCTGGCGTGCTGTGGTTCATGGGGTCACAAAGAGTCAGACACGACTGAGCGACTGAACTGAACTGATGCTAAAATGAAAACTTCAGCTACCTACATCAATCCTCAAATAAAATTCTTTTCTGGTCTATAAAATCCAAATAGTCTAAGGACCAATTACCTAGATAAATTAGGATTCTTTACAGATTCAAATTTATATGACTCTGACTAACCTTCATGTTTGTTATAATTTAATATCAAAACTATATTATCTTAGTAGAATTCTTTCTATAATTCTTCTCCACTATAAATGCAAATAGTTTAATAAATGTTTATTCAGTCTACCTTTACTTCAGATTCAAACAGATCCCCCTTCACATAAAGAACAAAAATAATTAATTTCCTAAAAAGAAAAGGTATCTTAATTAAAAGCAGAAACTATATAGTTTCCATCAACTAAATATACTATAACTGACTGAAGACATTCAATACATAGAAAATTATTAAAATGACCAAATATTATTAAAAATGTAGTGACACCAACTACATATAACACAGTGATGTGTGCAAATAAATTCCTGTTCTATGAGAGTTCACATTAAAATATAACATCAATTTATGGAGACACTCAGAACACAATCAGACAAAATTATTAGCATATCTGGGGGAGTCAATATTTGTACTCCCATATTATAAGAATCTTATTAACAGTGACTGAGAATTAAAATAAAATTAGCTTTAGAGGATTTAGATGGTGTTAGAATTCATGAGGCTTCTCCACTTTAGAGGATTTAGATGGTATTAGAATTCACGTGGATTCCCCAGTGGCTAAGCGGTAAAGAATCTGCCTGCAATGCAGGAGCCATGGGAGACGTGGGTTGATCCCTGGGTTGGGAAGATCCCCTGGAGGAGGGCATGGCAACCCACTTCAGTACTCTTGCCTAGAGAATCCCATGGACAGAGGAACCTGGCGGGCTACAGCCCATAGGGTCACAAAGAGTTGGACATGACTGAAGCGACTGAGCACACATGCACAGACAGAATTCACATAAAGATGCAAATGAAAAACTCCAATAAACCACAATTAATTTCTCTTTCCTTCTTCCCTCATATAAAGTACTTTTAAATTTTCCAGTTTGTGTGTCTAACGCCTTTGGAGTTATACCCTACTGCTCTGAGTGAGTATCACTTAAATGTGTACCTTCTACCTTCCACTTCCTTCTATGCTCCAGTCTAACTATTTCCCTTTTTGTATTTGGACAGTTCTGCCTGGATATATTGGGCTTTCCCAGTGGCTCAGCAGAAGACATGGGCTCGATCCCTGGGTTGGGAAGATCCCCTGGAGGAGGGCACAGCAATCCACTCCAGTATTCTTGCCTGGAGAATCCCATGGACAAAGATCCCTGGCAGACTACAGTTCATAGTGTTGCCAAGAGTCAAACACAACTGAAGCAACTTAGCACAGCAGAGCACCCTGGATATACTACAAAAAAATCAACAAACCTAACCCCAAATTAATTAAAACCCATATTGTTTTTTTCCCTATTTTCTGTATATTAATTAATGAGACAGCCATTGACCCATGATAAAGACTTTGGAATTACTCCAAATCCTTTCATTACTATCCATATCCAAGAGACAATCAACCACTGTTGATTCTTTCATTTATCTTTCTAATCTATCCCTTACTTTTGTAAAACACTGTCTCTTCTTTAAGTCAAGTTTACCACATTTGTTTTAAAGATTTTCTAAAAATCTCTTGTCTCCCTATTCAATTAAAAAGACTTCAGGCTTATCTAATAATGTCAGTCCTGCTTTAAAGTCTTCTGAGGTTTTGTAGTGATTAGAGATGGACATCAAAACCTTGAAAAGCACATAAAGCAGATCTCAGTCGGTGTGGCTCCTTTAATGGTAAAGGAGCCTTCACCATGATAGTCACATAGCTTCATTTAGGGAGCCACAATGAAGTATACATTGTTCCCTAAAATGGGCCTTGTTCTTTACATTTCCACACCTTATACACATTCTGCTCCCATAGGCTAGAATGTCCTTGCATATGTGTTAGTCGTTCAGTTGTGTCCAACTCTTTGCGGCCCCAGGGACTGTAGACCATCAGGCTCCTCTGTCCATGGGATTTTCCAGGCAAGAATACTGGGGTTGGTAGCCATTCCCTTCTCCAAGGATCCACCCAACCCAGGGGTTGAAACCAGGTCTCCTGCACTGGTAGGGAAATTCTTTACCATCTGAGCCACCAAGGTAGCCCCAGAATGTCCTTATCTGCCTTATTAACTCTTAAAATCATTTGAGACTCAGCTTAAATAAACCAAATACCTTGTCAAAACCATAATTACTTTCTCCCTCATGTGCTTCCCTCTAGTACTTTGTGAATATTTCAGAATGCTACACAATATTCATTGGTCTCTCTCCCTCAATGAAGATGAGATCCTCAATGTTAAAGTTAATTGCACATTCCTACCATGTTTCTGATGCATGTTAGGTACTTGAGAGACAGCAGACAACCCCTACTCTAATGAAGCTTACTGCTTAATGAAAGTGCCAGGCAGCATTTTGGCACAGTATACAGGCAGAGAAGGCTTCCTCATATTTGAACTGAGATCTGAAGAATTATGAGGAGCTGGGGCAAAAGGGGAAGGATGTATGAATATGAGAAACTGAAAAGTCAGTAACTGACAAACAGAAACCATGTGGAAAGAACAAGATAAGGATGGAGATGAACAAGTGACATTACCATACTAGATCTGATAAACCAAGTTAAAAGATTTTGGTCTTTATCCTAAGAATAAGAATTTTTAAAGAGTTTTAAATAGGAAAATAACATGACTAGAAAAATAAACTAGAAGAAAATATAATAACATATAAACAATGGTCATCACTGGGTGAAATTATTACTCTTTTTTCCTTAAAAATTTCCTAATTTTCTACAACAAATGTCATTGGTGATGGTTTAGTCATTGAATAATGTCTACTTCTTTGCAACCCCAGGCTACCCCAGAGTAGCCTGCCAGGCTCCTCTGTCCATGGGATCTTCCAGGCAAGAATACTGGAGTGGGTTGCCATTTCCTTCTCCAAGAGAACTTCCTGACCCAGGGATCGAACCCAGGTCTCTTGCATTGCAGATGGATTCTTTACCAACTGAGTCACCAAGTAACCAAAAAGTCACCAGCTTTTTTCCTCAATAATTTTCTAATTTTCTACAACGAATGTCATTACTTTCCTTAAAAAAATATTTTAAAGTTTTGAGCATCTCAGAAGAGTGATAATAAATAAAAATCTAATATAATACTTTTCAGAAAAATTTTAATTCTTGATTAATCTCAAATCTTCCTTGCAGTTTTAATTTTTTTCATTAATGCATTGAACAAATACAGGTGCCAAGCACTGTTCTAAGTGCCAGAAATGAAAGGATGAATAAGAAACATATTGATGATCTGAGTTTTCACAAAGCTTTTATGATACACTATGAGGAAAAGACACTGTGAGACAGCAAAAGAGACACAGCTGTAAAGAACAGACTTTTGGACTCTGTGGGAGAAGGCGAGGGTGGGATGATTTGAGAGAACAGCATTGAATACATGTATGTTATCATATGTGAAATAGATCACCAGTCCAGGTTCGATGCATGAGGCAGGGTCAGGGCTGGTGCACTGGGATGACCCTGAGGGATGGGAGGGGGAGGAGGTGGGAGGGGGGGATTCATGATGGGGAACACATGTACACCTGTGGCTGATTCATGTCAATGTATGGCAAAAACCACTACAATATTGTAAAGTAATTAGCCTCCAATTAAAATTAATTAATTAATTTTTAAAAAAATGAACCATTACTTAAAAGTGTATTGAGTACTGCAAAGGAAAAGAGTGGACCACTTTGAAAATAGGTAAGAGAAGTTAAACTACTTAATGAGCTGGGAAAAAAAAATACAAAGTTGAAAGCCAAATGAAGACTATCAGTTCCTGGTAAGGTTGCAAACCAACACACATGGCTCTCTCTTTCCTTCCAAACTAACTTTTGATGTGCTACAAAAATAAGACAGAGGCTAACAGAATCCTAAAGCTACTCTTACACAAATATATCATAATGATATATATATATCTGTATAAACCATGAGTAACTCCTGGAGAGACAAAAGACAACTAGGTCTCAGTATAGTTAAGAATTAGAGCATAGTATACAGGCAGATGCAGGGAACAGACAAATAACGGGAATCAAAAGGTACCAACATCTAGTTATACAATAAATAATTCATGGGGCTATAACATACAGCATGATGACTATAGTTAACAATACTATACTGCATATTTGAAAGTTGCTAAAAGAATAGATCTTAAAAGCTCTTATCACAAGAAAAACAGAAGTACTGTAACTATGTATGATGACAGGCATTAACTAGATTTATTGCAATGATCATTTTGCAATACACAAAAATAATCAATATACTGTAAACTGAAACTAATATAATTTTGTACATCTAAATATTTTATTTAGGTACATTTATATATATACAGTAATATATATATAGTCAAGAATAATTCATACATAAGTTTATAAGTAGCTGCAAATTTTTCATAGTATGGAAAGTTACACCGAATGAAAAATACGTCAAATGAATCATTTCATATTTTGAGAATACATAGCAACAATAGTAATTCATATTGCTTACTCATCTGTCTGTCTCCATAACTGATGGCTTCCGCCAGCGGGCTCCATCCCTGAGCATTTTTCACCTTTACTGGAGCATTGTGAGCCAAAAGTAAATGGGCACATTCTGAAACATAGAACGGTAATAATATCAAACACATCATGCAATTTTCAGAATCTCTAAATTAAAAAATCATTAAAAAATTCAAGATATCAAGTTAATATAAACAGATCTATGAAATAAGCATGGTACTATAGAGAATTAAGTAATTTTTTAAATTCCTATGTATCTAACCATGTTATCTCAAATCCTTAAGATTCAAGAATTATCTATTCTAGTCCCCAAAAATAAACTAGATCTCTCTGCAAAGAAAATATTATGTTCCCTAATAATTGTTCCCAAGGATATTTTAAGAATGTTTCCATATTATAAAAAATAACCCAAGAAACTCAAAAGTAATTTACATAAAAACTTCTACTAACTAATAAGACGCAGAAGAGGACTAACTACAAGGTCAAATGGAAAGTTCATTATTTATTTCAAGGGGAAAAAAAAGTATTTGCAAAAAAAAATCACTGATGTTTCCATAAGCCCTTATTTTTCAAATTTTATAGCTTGTTTAGTTCAAAAAAATACCCAAAGGAGACAAAAACTTGTTTATAAGGACAAATCTAGACAGTCTTTCTAGTAACCAAAAAAAAAGTAAAAAGGTAATAAAATAATCAAAAAAGGTAATTTTTTAAAAAGATATACTTGGCTCACCATCCAGGCCAGGCACAGTTGCCTGCTGAAACTTAAGAGAAACACTGAAGACTGCCACAGAGACAGGATAATTACATTAAAAAAAAAATCTATGATCAGGACAAAAGTTTCCAAAACACTGGATTTTGGGGGGCTGGTCACACGGCATGCAGGATCTTAATTCCCCATCCAGGATTAAACCTGCACCCCCTGCAATGGAAGCATGGCGTTTTAACCACTGGACCACCAGGGAATTCTCAACACTGAATATTTTAGGATGCACTGAGAGATCTCTGCCTCTTGGATCTTAGCTGGTTAAGTTTAGGGGTGGTGGTTTTAAATCATCACTGTCAACATTTCCAGTTATTCATGGGAAAATTAATTTACATAGTACTTCATCAATGGATTTTGTGGTTTCAACTGTTTTATCTATATAATACTTGCTGTTTCCAACTCAGTGGCTGGAGCATTTCCAACATTTAACATTGAGGACATGTGGTAATCTGAACCAAGTCTTACAATAAGAACTAACATAATATATGACAACATGAATAAGTTTTCTAGAATAGGGAAAAAAAAGTCTAAGGTACAGACCTTTGTATAGGTTGAGGAAATTTTTCTTAAATTAAAAATAAGCATATTAACAGGCAGGAAAACATCTGAAACAAGGCTCATGGGAAGTTTAAGATAGCTATCCAACTTAAATTCCCCAAATGAATGATTCATTCATTCAATCAGTCTTTTAGCATGTATTTATCAATGCCTATTATATGCCATTTCTAAGTGCTAGGTCCTAGATATAAGCAGTGAGAAGAAAGATAATCAGAGAGCTCACATATTATGTTAAAATATAATTAAGTTAAGTAGTAAATTAAAAAAAATAATGTTAAGTGCTCTGAAGGAAATAAGAGTGTTATGACAGTTGTAATGCAAGTGAGCTGAGGTGGAGGAAGAATGGTATTAGCACTATTCCTAGTAATAGAAGAAATATCTACACTAGCAGGAAATTATATTAAGTAAGTAAAACAAATACAGAAATTTCACAAAGGTGTTTAAGAAAGTCTGCTAGTAGTATATAAAAATATATGTACACTGAAATCTTTAAGTATAATGTTCTTCTCCATTTCAGCTCAAATCCATAAGTGAAAATCTTCCTAGCCAACTTGGCCAATATATCCACCGGAAATTCAGAAAAAATTAAGACTTCACTAGTGAACAACAGGTTATTAAGTAGGTTAAGATGAGTGAAAGAAGTAAATACAAGTGTGTAAGTTGTAGGGTATCTCGAATTCAATCAACAAATGTTTGAATGCCCTGGGAATTTTTACTGTGTTTACAAATACGTATACAAATAAAAAGTGCCCTTCAACAATGAAGTCACTAAAGACACAGCATATCTCTAAAGGAGAAGATAAAAGAGAACAGAGTAGCACAGACTGAACGGTGGTAGAATGTAGAATTGCTGTACAGAATTAAATATAAGGTAGATGTTTTATCTTCCACCATCTATTTCAGTCTCATGCCTATGCAACCAAATACCAAAAATATTAAAGGGTCAAATAGGAAAAAGTAGAAAAAGAATACACAACTGGAAAAATGTAAATGGAAAATTATAAATTGATAGGTATATTAATGGCTGTACCTACTCTACATGAAAAGGACTCAGGAAGAGCAAAAACTGATATTATGTGCAGATCATGAATAATCTAACCAAGTGTTTCCCAAAAACTCTAGTTTCTCAAGATACTTGTAAAAAAGAGAAAATACCAAATAACTACAGGGAACAATGACTCTATAATAGAAGGCTCCACTTCAGAATGTCACATTGAATATTAGCACCTCAAAAGTGCTAAGAAGGTCCACAGTAAAAAAAAAAAAAAACCTGCTTAATATGTATTAAGCCACTATTTTCCAAATCACTACTTTCCTCTAAAATTATCTCCCATGAAACAAATGTTCTGTGAAACAATTTTGAATAGACTGATAAAATCCTATGATGAAACATAGCAAAACTTCCTCCACCAAAAATTAGGACCTAGGACAGTAAATATGTTTCATTTCACATTAAAATTCTGATAAATCTATATTTACTATTAAAGTGTTAAATTTAGAATAGTAATTAGACTTGGCATCAAATTAATTATGACTATCACAAAGACAGGAGGGAAGCAGGCTACATGTTAGCTAACTTTGATTTAGACTATTTTCTTTTCAAATGATTCACAGTGAAAAGAGAGCAATGCAGGTCACCATGATGATTAGGAATTCAGGCTCTGACGTAAGATACTCCAAGTTCAAGTCAAAACTCTGATACTTCTCCCTGGGAAAGTTGCTTAACATCTCAGAGCTAACATTTTTCATCTGTAAAATGGGGACAATGATAGTATCTTCCTCACATGATTGCTATGTTAAATGAGTAAACATGTATAAAGTCCTGAAAAAGCATCTAGCACATTGTAAATGAATACATTTCAGTTATTTTCTAAAGTTCTGATCCAATGTTCTTCAAAAGAAGGTCTGAGCCTTTAGTGGTCAAATTTAGCTAACTGTATCTTTCTTTTCACCAAGGTAGCTATACTAGAGATGACTATCATGGTCTGCCCTACCAATAGTCCTGCTAAATATTCTTCCTCTGCATTCTTGATACCCTCTTCTACCCCAACTCTCTCCCAGAGTCAGTCTCACTAAAGCTAATTTTATATGACTAACTACATATTCCAAACACAGTTCATGAGGTCGCTAGTCACTCATCACTGTGACTTGGCTGAAGATGAACTAGCCCAATCAAACTTTCTGTTCAGAAATTCAGGAACCTAAGAAATTGAACTATTTGGTGGAGAACACTAAAACCAGAAAGCCTTCAAGATTTAGGAACTTAGAACAGTTATTTTGGGTCATCGTCAGTTTCAATAAACAGAGAAAAATCAATCAAGAAAAGACAGAATATTATATATATAAATAAAGAACAGTACATACACCATAAGAAACAGACAAGATGACTGATATAGATGGATAGATAAACATACATATATGAAGGGAAGGAAGGAGGAAGGTTGTGGGCAGGGGGAGGGAAGGGAGGAAAGGAAGGGAAGAGAAAGAGAGGGAGGAAGTAAAGAAAGGAGGGGAGAGACAGGAGGAAGGGGGAAATGATAGCTGACTTCCCAAACTATCTTTGTCACTACTCTTCCTGAGACATAGACAGTCCCCATAGTTTGAATTTAATGTATAGCCTCTTAATGAATCTCTCTACTTAAAAGTTACTTGAGTGAGTCTCTTCTCTGTAAGGAGGAAATAAACAGCATAACTAACTAAAACTTTGAGTCCCCAGTTTTGTTGTTGCTGTTCAGTCCCTAAGTCATGTCCGACTCTTTGCAACCCCAAGGACTGCAGCACGCCAGGCTTCCCTGTCCTTCACTATCTTCTGGAGTTTGTTCAAATTCATGTCCACTGAGTCGGTGATGCTATCTAACCATCTCATCCGTTGCTGCCCTCTTTTCCTTTTGCTTTCAGTCTTTCCCAGCATCAGGGTCTTTTTCAATGAGTCAGCTCTTAGCATCTGGTGGGCAATTTATGTAGTATTAAAATCTAGATTAAATTTCCTACACATCATGTTTCACATAAACACATAAACTTAAAACTCGCAAAAGAATTTTGTTTTTCAACAAAGCAAGTTCTAGCAATATTTTTCAGATCAAACTTCACAGCAACAGCTATTTTATAGTATATAACAGTAACAGATGTTCATGATATGGTTAGAACATCAGAAAAGTGTTAAAAAATTATCTTGTTTAAAAATTCAACAGTATATGCTTTCCAAAGATTTTTATCAAACACATCCAAAATTTTAAAATCGAGCACTCAGAAGGTTGCCAATCAGCTACCTAGAATCCTCACCTTCCAAGATAACTGGGAATCCAGATAATTATGGCATCTAGGGATAGGCTTAAAAAGTAGATCTTTTGGGACTTCCCTGGTGGTCCAGCGGCTAAGGCTCCATGCTTCCGTGGCTAAGACTCCATGCTCCCCCTGCAGAGGGCAGAAATTCCATCCCTGGTCTGGGAACTAAGATCTCACATGCTGCAACTAAGGCCCAGTGCAGCCAAATAAATAAATAATTTTTTTTTAAAAAAGGAGATTTTTTTAAACCATCTATGAGCTATTTTTTTGTTCTGAAGAATAAACAAGTACTAACATTTTATTATCTATCATAATAATCCTAGACTTATGAGTTTATAAAAAAAGCCCATATTAAAGAATCTTATAAAACTATAAATACTAAAAATATTATAATAATTAATAAAACTTAATATTTGGAAACAAGAGTCTCCTGATATTATACTTACTTGAAAACTAACCAAACAAGAAAAAAAGTTTCAAAAGGCATAAAGGTTAGTATAAGACGTCCACTAACTCTTTGAAAAAAGTGCTATGAAAAATGAGAAAGTATTTGTGTTTTGTAATATACTGAATCCTAGACTCAATTAGCAAATCAAATAATTAGGTGAATGTTTTAAAATTCAAAACATAAAACTCATCTTAAAATTTTAAAACTGACTATACATGAGTGAAGTCAGTTTAAAACTGATTCAGTTCAGTTCAGTCACTCAGTTGTGTACGACTCTTTTCGACCCATGGACTGCAGCACGCCAGACCCCCCTGTCCATCGCCAACTCCCGGAGTTTACTCAAACTCATCTCCATTGAGTCGGTGATGCGATCCAGCCACCTCATCCTTTGTCGTCCCCTTCTCCTGCCCTCAATCCCTCCCAGCATCAGGGCCTTTTCCAATGAGTCAGCTCTTCGAATCAGGTGGCCAAAGTACTGGAGTTGCAGCTTCAACATCAGTCCTTCCAATGAACACCCAGGACTGACCTCCTTTAGGATGGACTGGTTGGATCTCCTTGCAGTCCAAGGGACTCTCAAGAGTCTTCTCCAACACCACAGTTCAAAAACCATCAATTCTTCGGCGCTCAGCTTCCTTTAAAGTCCAACTTTCATATCCATACATGACTACTGGGAAAACCATAGCCTTGACTAGGTAGACCTTTGTTGGCAAAGTAATGTCTCTGCTTTTTAACATGCTGCCTAAGTTGTTCATAACTTTCCTTCCAAGGAGTAAGTGTCTTTTAATTTCATGGCTGCAGTCACCATCTACAGTAATAAAACTGATTATACATGACTATACAACAACAAAAAAAGAAAATATCTACTAACCTTTATTTCCTAACATCACAGCAAGATGTAAAGGAGTGTTTCCTAAAACAGAAACAAAAACAAATCAGATTAGTATAAAAACACTGGAAAAATTATTTTTAAATGGCTTCAGCTCCTTCAGAAAGTTCACTGACAAATTTTAAGCAAAAATAACGTGACGACAAAATGATCCTGCTTATGTGGTAAAGTCAAGGTCAGAGGACGCAATGGTTTCTAAACACAGCATATCCTACTTGTCTTTCCCCCATCTCCCATGAAAAATATCCATTTTGCTTTTGGGACTTTCCCTTCAAATAGATGTCAGACTCCTTTGCTGCTAATTTCTCTGTATCTACCTTTGTTCATTCAGCACACAGTTTAAATACCTACTACACACTCATCCGTGCTCATTTCTGTAAGATTCAATCCTGTCCTCAAGTTTAAAAAAAAAAAGAAAATGAAAACACTAACTGGAAAAAATATATTCACCCCCATGTTCACTGCAGCATTATTTACAATAGCCAAGATATGGAAGCAACCTAGGTGCCCATCGACAAACAAACAGATAAAATGTGTGTGTGTCTGTATGTATGACACATTCAATAGAATGTTATTTGCCCATTAAAAAAAGAATGGAATCTTGCCATCTGCAGCAACATAGACGGACCGTGAGGGCATTATACTAAATGAAATAAGTCAGATAGAGACAAATAACCAAACAATCTCACCTATATGTGGAATTTTTAAAAATACATACATACATATATATATATATATATATACACACACACACACAGAACAAACTGGTGATTGCCAAAGGTGAAGAGTGAGAGAGTAGGTGAAATGGGTGAAGAGAATTAAAAGGTACAAACTTTCAGTTAAAAAATTAAGTCCTGGGGATGTAACATATGGCATGGTTACTATTATACTGCATTTGAAAGTTGTTAAACATAGATCTTAAAAGCTATCATCACAAGAAAAAAAATATTTTGAATTATGTATGGTGATGTATATTAATCAGACTTCTTGTGGTAATCATCTCACTATATATAAACATGAAAACATTAGGTTATATACCTGAAAGTAATAAAATGTTGTACATCAATTATATTTCAATCAAAAAAAAAAGAGTATATTGCAAAGGTAAACAATTTCCTCTGTCTCAGTATGCTAAATCTAGGTAGGACTGTAGAAGATACATTTTCTGTTTTGCTAAAATCAGTACCTTGCTATTATAAACAGTTGTTTCTGATCAGCTCCAGAGAAAAAGAAATCTACATATACAAGTATCAATTTCCAGTCTGATTGGTCTAGAATAAGATTGTCTTCCACCTTTTCTAAATACTGAACTAATTTCATGTGTTGCATTCACATTCTATGACAATCTCTATCAAAACCAAAAAGTAGTCACAAAAAGTAAACAAAACTTGTTGACAAACTGATGCCATAAATAGTTCAACACTAGGCCAAAACCAATGCCTTTACTTTGGACTTTCATTTCTAATTCCCATTTCAATCTCCTCTCTAAACTGGAATAATAATTTTAAAACAAAAACTTGACCATGTTGCAGTTTCACTTAAAAGGCTTGACTGTGGTCCACATTTTATCTTTAACATGGCATAAAAGGTTCTTGAGATAAGCCCTTACCTTCCTTCCTTCTATTTTCTTTCTTACCCCATATTTCATCTGAATTGCATGCAATAAACTCTCCAATAGCCGAGATTCTTTATATTTTACACACATTTTGTTAATTCTTCCTAAATATTTCTTCCCATTGGCCTAGCAAGTTAATACTCACCTTTTAGGGCTTAACTCAAACATCATCTATCCACTGAAGCCTTCTCCAGACAATCAGATGTCCCTCTGCACTACTCCCAGAGCACTCTATGCCTCTTTAATGAAGCACTTTTCACACTAAATTATACTTTTTATTTTATATAGAAACATCTGTCCCCTTCATTAGACATTAACCTCAGTACAACTAAGATACATATTTTATTCATTTATGTATATAAAATGCTTCCAATACACATATAACATTCAAAATACAGTCAGTAAGTATTCGTGAATGAAGGCATGAGAAAAAGCTCTGACTGATGGCAACAAACCCTAAAAATATCACTAAAATGCAAAAGGCATTACCTTAGGTAAGGGTTGCACAAATATTTCCACAATTGGGTAATGTAACTGTAAAAGTTTTCATGTTATTTTTCCTAAATGTTTATAAGAATATGCTTATAAAACCATTTAGCCCTTGGATTTCCTTAGAGTGAACATCTTTATTATGGATTCATAATGACAAGAGTACTGATGTTTCCTAATTCCTTTTTGTGTACATTTTGACAATGTTTTTCTAGGATTCTGTCTACGTCATCTAAATTGTCATCTATTGTCATACATTTTGTTCATAAATATCCTTCTGTGATTTATCAATGACATTAAAATTTATGCAGATGCCCCCCTTTTCATTCATATGTTATTTGTGTTTCTTATTTGATCAGTCTGAGGTTAATTTTACACACCTTTTTAAAGGACAAAGTTTTGGCATGTTGCTACTGAACATCTGTTCTAAATAATTGTTGCTTTTATTATTTCTTTTATTCTGTTATTTGGGTAAAATAGGCTTAAGTTGGGAAATTAAGTAAATTAAGTTGTTCTTTTCCTAATTTCTCAAAATGGATTCTTAGATGCATGGTTTTTCACATTTTCCTAATATCTTTATCTTTTGATTACTAATCTCTAGTTTAATTGCAAGGTGATCAGAGAACAGACTCAATATAATCTCAATCTGAAACATGTTGAAAGTTGCTTTATGGTCAAGTTTAGTCAATTTTGTAAATGGTTTCTGTATGTTTGAAAACAACAAGTAACCTGAGGGCTTTGGTTGCAACATTTCAAATAAATATTCTAGGTCCAGTTTGTGTTATTCATACTTTTTGTATCCTTACTGGTTTTCTTGTCAGCTTATTGTTAAAAAAAGAACAAAGCTAAAATCTCCCACTATAATGGAGATTTCTATATCTTCTTCTATTTCTAGCAATTTTTGCTTGGTATATTTTCAGCCTATGTGATTAATTACAAACCAAATCCTTGAATACTTTCCTGGTTCAATGAATGATTTTTTCATCTTGAAGCACCTCTCTTTATCTCAGGTATTTTCTGCTTTAAATTCTACTATGATGTTAATATTGGATAAGGAAATGGTGACCCACTCAGGTTTCATCCCTGGGTCAGGAAGATCCCCTGGAGAAGGGAATGGCAACCCACTCCAGTATCCTTGCCTGGAGAATCCCATGGACAGAGGAGCCTGGGAGGCTACAATCTATGGGGTGCAAGAGTTGGACATGACTACATTACAACCACATGATGTTAACACAACTATACCAATTTTTTGACTGGTATTTACATGGAATATATTTTTCACTCCTTTCACTTTCAATTTTTATATGTTGTTGTATTTCAGATGTGTTTGAACTGTATGCAGCTGGGTGTTTTTTCATACAGTAAGATAGTATTTATCATTTAACTGTTAGAGCATTTAATCCAGTCTCATATATTATACTTAATCATACTGAAGTGAAAGTTGTTCAGTCATGCCCGACTCTTTGCCACCCCACAAACTATAGAGTCCATGGAATTCTCCAGGCCAGAATACTGGAGTGGGTATCCGTTCCCTTCTCCAGGGCATCATCCCAACCTAGAGATGGAGACCAGGTCTACGCACATGGCAGGCGAATTCTTTACAGCTGAGCAACTAGCGATATTACTGGAGTTTAACGCTACCATCCAGCATTGTGCATTCTACTGTATTTTCAACATTTGTCTTGCCAGCTCCACACTTCTTTTTCTCATCTTCCTACCTTTTTCTAAATTGATTATTTTCATATTTCCATTTTGATTTTCTGTCTGTGGATGGAATGTACATATTTATTTTACTATTTTTACAGTGGTTATCCTAGACATGCACTGTCCTATATGGTAGCTACATGGAATGTGAAGTCAAGTGGGCCTTAGGAAGCATCACTACAAACAAAGCTAGTGGAGGTGATGGAATTCCAGCCGAGCTATTTCAAATCCTGAAAGGTGATGCTGTGAAAGTGCTGCACTCAATATGCCAGCAAACTTGGAAAACTCAGCAGTGGCCACAGGACTGAAAAACGTCAGTCTTCATTCCAATCCCAAAGAAAGGCAATCCCAAAGAATGCTCAAACTACTGCACAATTGCACTCATCTCACACGCTAGTAAAATAATCCTTAAAATTCTCCAAGCCAGGCTTCAGCAATACGTGAACCGTGAAATTCCAGATGTTCAAGCTGGTTTTAGAAAAGGCAGAGGAACCAGAGATCAAATTGTCAACATCCGCTGGATCATTGAAAAAGCAAGAGAGTTCCAGAAAAACATCTAGTTCTGCTTTATTGACTATGCCAAAGCCTTTGACTGTGGAATCACAATAAAATTCTGAAAGAGATGGGAATACAAGACCACCTGACCTGCCTCTTGAGAAATCTGCATGCAGGTCAGGAAGCAATAGTTAGAACTGGACATGGAACAACAGACTGGTTCCAAATAAGAAAAGGAATATGTCAAGGCTGTATATTGTCAACCTGCTTATTTAAGTTATGCAGAGTACATCATGAGAAACGCTGGGCTGCAAGAAGCACAAGCTGGAATCAAAATTGCTGGGAGAAATATCAATAACCTCAGATATGCAGAAGACACCACACTTATGGCAGAAAGTGAAGAGGAACTAAAAAGCCTCTTGATGAAAGTGAAAGAGGAGAGTGAAAAAGTTGGCTTAAAGCTTAACATTCAGAAAACTAAGATCATGGCATCTGGTCCCATCACCTCATGGGGAATAGATGGGAAGACAGTGGAAACAGTGTCAGACTTTATTTTTTGGGGCTCCAAAAGCACTGCAGATGGTGACCGCAGCCATGAAACTAAAAGACGCTTACTGCTTGGAAGGAAAGTTATGACCAACCTAGACAGCATATTAAAAAACAGAGACATTACTTTGCCAACAAGGGTCCATCTGGTCAAGGCTATGGTTTTTCCAGTGGT